GAAATGCTACAATTGCAGTCATTGTTCAGATGAATCATTCCCTCCATACCCCTATGTACTTTTTCCTGGCTAACCTGGCAATTCTAGAAATCTTCTATACATCTTCCATTGCCCCACTGGCCTTGGCAAATCTTCTTTCAATGGGCAAAACTCCTATTTCTATCACAGGATGTGGCACCCAAATGTTCTTCTTTGTCTTCATGGGCGGGGCTGATTGTGTCCTGCTGGCAGTCATGGCTTATGACCGGTTTATAGCTATCTGTCACCCGCTGCGATACAGCCTCATCATGAGCTGGTCCTTGTGTGTGGAACTGCTGGTAGGCTCCCTGGTGCTGGGGTTCCTGCTGTCACTGCCACTCACCGTTTTAATCTTCCATCTGCCATTCTGCCACAATGATGAGATCTACCACTTCTACTGTGACATGCCTGCAGTCATGCACCTAGCTTGTGCAGACACACGTGTTCACAAGACTGCTCTGTATATCATCAGCTTCATCATCCTCAGCGTCCCCCTCTCATTGATCTCCACCTCCTATGTCTTCATTGTGGTAGCCATTTTACGGAACCGGTCAGCAGAAGGGTGCCAGCGAGCCTTCTCTACCTGCTCTTCTCACATCTTAGTGGTCCTCCTGCAGTACGGCTGCACCAGCTTTATATACTTGTCCCCTAGTTCCAGCTATTCTCCTGAGACGGGCCGGTTGATATCTGTGGTCTACACATTTATCACTCCCATTTTAAACCCCTTGATATATAGTATGAAGAACAAGGAACTGAAAGACGCCCTAAGAAAAGCACTGAGAAAGTTCTAGGTAGGATGATCCTATGATTTACTTAAATTGGGACACTTTTAAGAGTGAAATGGGATGCTACTAATAATTTTGCTGAAAGGACATACATAAGCCAAGAATGTCCTCAGCAAACTGAGATATGTGGTCCATTGTTTTGGGAACTCCAGAGGAAATGAGTGCTACTGTCTTGTTGAAAATAAAGCTATATCACATAGTGCAACATGCTGTCCTGGGCATGGATGAAGAGAGAAGAATCAACATTTACTGGAATGCTACTATATGCTAGGTATTTTAGGTATCTCACTTCACCCATAGTAAGTATTGTCTTCACTGCACAGAAAAGAAAACTAAACTCTTTCTGCTGTAGGCCTGAGTGGTTGCTGTTGAAATGGGCAAATTCATGAAACCTGGGAAAGTGGTGCTGGTCCTGGCCTAACGCTACTCCTAACACAAAGCCATCATTGTGACGAACATTGTTGATGGCACCTCAGGTTGTCCCTGTGGCCTGGTGGCTAGAATTGGCCACTTTCCCTGCAAAGTGACAACTGCCATGGGCAAGAAGAAGATTGCCAAGAGGTCAAAGATCAAGTCAAGTCTTTGTGAAAGTTTATAACTACAATCACCTAATGCCCACAAGGTACTCTGTAGTTATCCCTTTGGACAAAACTGTCATCAATAGGGATGTCTTCAGAGACTCTGCTCTTAAATGCAAGGTCCAAGGGGAGGCCAAATTCGAAGAGGTACAAGACGGGCAACAGGCCAAGCGTGGCGGCTCACGCCTGTAATCCCAACACTTCCAGAGGCCAAGGCAGGCAGATCACCCGAGTTCAAGAGTTTGAGACCAGCCTGGCCAACATGGTGAAACCCCAACTCTACTAAAAATACAAAAATTAGCTGGGCATGGTAGCAGGTGCCTGTAATCCCAACTACTCAGGAGGCTGAGGCAGGAGAATCACTTGAACCCAGGAGGCAGAGGTTGCACTGGGCTGAGACTGCGCCACTGCACTCCAGCCTGGGCTACAAGAGCAAAACTGTGTCTTAAAAGAAAAAATTTAAAAAAAGAAAACTAAAGCAGCTAACAAAAAACATATAGATGTTTATCACTATAAAATTCCCTTCTACTACTGCTTTTGCTGCATCCCGTAAGTTTTGGTACATTCTGTTTTCATACTGTCTCAAGATACTTTTTGCTAAGTTGTATTTTCATTTTCACTGGTCTCAATATATTATTTAATTCCCTTTTCATTTCCCATTTGACCCAGTATTTGTTCAAGAGTATGTTATTTAGTTTCCACATATTTGTGAATTTTCACATTTTATTGCTGTTACTGATTTCTAGTTTGATTCCATTGTTGTCACAAAAGATACGTAGTGTAATTCATTATCTTCTTAAATACGTAAGGCTTATTTGGGGACCTAACATATAATCTATCCTGCAAGGGGTTCAATGTGTGCTTGAGAAGAATGTGTGTTATATCTGTTTTTTTAAGTTTTTTTTGTCTTTTAACTTTTATTTAGAATTAAGAGAGATTTACCATCATCATTATAGAGGTAAAATATACTGTTTTTTCCCAATATTTACCTTTACCAGTGAGTTTCATCCTTTTATTTCAACTTGAAAAATTCCCAATAGCATTTCTTGTAAGGCAGATATGGTGATAAACTCCCTCAGCTTTTGATCATCTGAGGATGTCTTTGTTTCTGTTTCATTTTTGACAGGCATGTTTGCCATATATGGTATAGTAGTTGGTTGGTTTTTTTTCTTTCACATTATATATGTCATCCCATACTCTTTTGTCCTGCAAGGTTTTTGCTAAAAAATCGGCTGATAGTCTTATGGAATTCCTTGTACATAACAAGTCACTATTCTCTCAGTGCTTTCAAGATTCTCGTCATTTTTAACTGTTGGAAATTTGATTATAATATATCTCAATGTAAGTCTTTTTTGATTCATTGTATTTGTTGTCCACTGGCTTCCTGGATCTGAATGTCTGTTTCATTCCCCAGCTTGGGAAATGTTTAGCCATTATTACTTTGAATAAGCTTACTATTCCTTTCTGTCTCACCTGTCCTTCAGGAACTTCCATAATGCATATTCTGAATTGCTTGATGATGTCCCATCAGTCCCTTAAGCTATCATCACTCTTTTTAATTCTTTTTACTTATCTGACTGGATGATTTCCAACTCTCTGTATTTTAGTTTGGTAATCTTTACTTGCACATAACCTAGTCTTCTATGGAAATCCTCTATTAAAATTTTCAGTTCAGTCATTATGGTCTTCAGTTCTATGGCTTCCCTTAGGTTTGTTGTTGTTGTTGTTGTATGTCCTATCACTTTGTTGAAGTCTTACTTTGTTCATGCATAGCTCTCCTATATCATCTTTTTGACCATTATTTTGAATTATCCTTTATTTCATATATATCTTATACATATCCTATATACCATCACATATCCTTTATTTCCGGAGACTTGTTTTGGTCTTTCATTTGGACGGTATGTCCCTGTTTCTTCATTTTCCTTGATTCTTTGTGTTGGTTTCTGCACATTAAATAAAACAACCATCTCTCCCAGTCTTAAAAGCCTGGGAAAGTCACAACATTATGTGTGCAGTCAAGACTTCTCTAGGGAGAAATTGTAAGCTGGGTGTTTTTGCCTGCTCACTCTGCATTGAGCCAGAAAGATTAGCTGCTGGAAGTACTCATACACTCTTTTAAAACCACCTCTTTTTCTCGGCTATAAAGGATACATAAATGCTAAACCCCATTAGCTCCCAGAATTAGGTGATATAAGGGCCAGTTTTTTGGGTGGGAGCTGTAAAAGTTGTGCTCAATGTGTGGAAGAACTCCTTCCAGGGATGAGGTGGATACTTGATTTTAATGCTGTAGTGAGCCAGGGAAAGAAGACTCAGAAAGTGCTTTTAGCCTGGGAAACATGGTGAAACCCCATCTTCACACAAAAAAATACAAAAATTAGCCAGGTGTAGTGGTGTGTACCTGTAGTCCCAGCTACTCAGGATGTGGAGGCTGAGGTGGGAGGATTTCTTGAGCCCACTAGGTCGAGGCTGCAGTGAACCAAGATTGTGCCACTGTACTCCATTCTAGGCAACAAAGAGAGACCCTGAGAAAGAAAAGAGGAAGGAAGAGAAGGAAGGGAAGGGAGGAAAAGAATTGAGATGTTATATGTCCTCCAGACCCTTTACTTCTCAGAGAGAATCTGGGAGTTTAGGATTCACTTGTAATTGCAAGGTATTGTGCCCAGGGTGAGGTTTGTGGCACAAGTGAATTTCAACTTTTCCCATACATTTTGATATTTTAGTTTTTTCGTGTGTAGGAGACTTTCAACTACTTTTTTTGTTTCTCTCAAAAGAAACTAATCTTGGTATAGCTGTTTGCTCTAATGTGTTTGTGGAAAAAGCCAAAGTCAGAAGCCCCTTATTCCACCAGCTCATTGACATTATACTTATGGGTTTTGATTTTCAATAACATAACAATGACATAGAGCAAAGAAATAACATGATGATTAATTAATATTTTAATATAGGATGAATTAAAATATGGAGAGACTTTATGATTGTATTTAGAGGATCTACAATATAAATAGACATTATGCTGGATGCATTAAGTAAACAATAGCACTTTGTCCACCCAAAAGAGCTTAACTCATGTAGGAGCAATTTGAGTACATCTGATATATGAGCATGGTACAAATTTGTGTGGAATACACAATAGATTAAAACAGAATATCCTCTATAATATTCTAGATCTTTTGTTTTTGTTTTTGTATTTTTAGATAGTCTCACTCTGTCCCCCTGGCTGGAGTGCCACGGCTCAATCTCGGCTCACTGCAAACTCCACTTCCTGGGTTCAAGCCATTCTTGTGCCTCAGAGTCCCAAGTAACTGGGATTACAGGCATGTGCCACCACACCCAACTAATTTTTTATTTTTAGTAGAGATGGGGTTTCATCATGTTGGCCAGGCTGGTCTCAAACTCCTAGCCTCAAGTAATCCACCCGCCTAGGCCTCCCAAAGTGCTGAGATTATAGGCATGAGCCACCATGCCCAGCCTCTAGGCTATTCTATAGTGAATGATGTACTAAAATTCTCAATTTCTATGAGATCAGTTTTTTAGAGTCCACATATGAGGAAGATGATGTGCTATTTGTCTTTCTATGCCTGGCTTATTTCCATTAACATAATGTCCCCCAGGTTCATACGTGTTGTCACAAATAAGTAGATTTTGTTCTTTTTATGGTGGACTAATATTCCATTTTGTAGATATACCATATACTCTTTATCCATTCATCCACTGATGGATACTTAGGTTGATTCCACATCTTGGCTTTTGTGAGTAGTGCTGTAATAATCACAGGAGTACAGATGTCTCCTCAACATACTAATTTCATTTCCTTTAGAAATATACCCAGTAGTGAAACTGCTGGATCATATGATAGTTCTATTTTTAATTTTTTGAGGAACCTCTGTTCTGTTTTCCATAATGGCTATAATAATTTATATTCCAACTATGAGTTTGTAAAGCTTCCTTTTTATCTACATCTTCATCTTTTTTTTAATAATAGCCATTCTAAGGAGTGAGGTAATAACTCATTGTAATTCTGATTTGCATTTAACTGATGACTAGTGAGGTTGAGCATTTTTTTTCATATATCTGTTGGCCATTTTTATGTCTCCTTTGGAGAAATGTCTATGCAGGTCTTTTGCCCATTTTTGGGTTGTTTTTTTGCTGTTGAGTTATTTAAGTTCCTTATATATTTTGGATATTAACCCTTTATCAGATGCATACTTTGCAAATATATTCTCCCATTCTGTAAGTTGTGTCTTCACTCTTGATCATTTCCTTTGCTATTTAGAAGCTTTTGTCATTTGCTGTGATCCCATTTGTCTATTTTTGCTTTTGTTGCCTGTGCTTTTGAGGTTTTCTTAAAAAAAAAAAAAATTCTTGTCCAGACCAAGGTCATGAAGCTTTTCCCATAAGCCTTCTTCTAATAACTTTATATTACCAGGACTAACATGGAACTCTTTAATCCATCTTGAGTTGACTTTTTATATGGTGAGAGATAAGGGTCAAATTTCATTCTTCTACATGTACATATTAAGTTTTCCCAGCACCGTTTATTGAAGAGACTATCCTTTGCCCAAGGTGTGTTCTTGGCACCTTTGTTGAAAATCAGTTGGCTGCAAATCTGTGGATTTATTTCTGGGCCTCATTCTGTTCCATTGGTCTATGTGTCTGTTTATGTCAGTACCGTGCTGTTTTGGTTACTATAGTTTTGTGGTATATTTTGAAGTCAGGCAGTATGACGCCTTCAAAACTTTGTCCTTTCTTCGCAGGGTTGATTTGGCTATTTGGAGCCTTTTGTGGTTCCATAAAAATTTTAGAATTTTTTTTTCTATTTCCATTAAGAATGTCATTGGTATTTTGATAGGAGTTGCACTGAATTGGTAGATTGCTTTAGGTAGTAGAGACATGTTAACAATATTAATTCATCTAGTCTATAAAAATAAATGGAATGTCTTTCCATTTATTTGTGTCTTCTTCAATTTCTTTCATCAGTGTTTTATAGTTTTCATTGTAGAGATGTTTCACCTCTTTAAATTTATTCCTAAACATTTTATTTTGTGTAGCTATTATTATTAGAATTGTTTTCTAGATTTCTATTTCAGATAGTTTTCCATTATCATACAGAAATAATACTAATTTTTATGTTTATTTTGTACCCCACAACTTTACTGAACTTATCAGTTCTAATATTTTTTTTAGTGGAGTCTTTAGGTTTTTGTGTATATAAGATCATGTCATTTGCAAACATGTAAAATCTAACTTCTTTATTCCCACTTTGGATGACTTTTATTTCCTTCTCTTGCCAAACTGTTCTGGCTTAAACTTCCAGTACTATGTTGAATAGAAATAATGAAAGTGGGCATCCTTGTCTTGTTCCAAAGCTTAAAGGAATAGCTTTCAACTTTCCCCCATTCAGTATGATGTTAGCTGTGGGTTTGTCAAATACGGTCTTTATTGTGTTGAGCTATATGCTTTCTGTACCTAATTTGTTGAGAGTTTTTATCAGTAAGAGACGTTGGATTCTGTCAAATCTTTTCAGCATCTGTTGAATTGGCCATATGGATTTTATTGTTCATTTTGTTACATTTATTGATTTGTATATATTGAACCATCCTTGCTATCCTGGGATGTATCCCATTTGATCATAATGAATTTTTTTAATACCAATTTGTACTTTTATTTCTTATTCTTGAGGTTAGATTCTAAACCCTAAACATATCCAAAGTAGCATTAGATCTACTTATCTATAGCCAGAGACAGCTTCTATCATGTTGTCCTTAGCAGCCAAGGTTATCAAAACGTCTTTTCTCCAGGAAGATTCAATAAGGAAAAAAAAAAGAAACCTCTCTGACTAGGCTCCAACCATATCCCATCCTCCATAAAATTGACTGTATAGGCATAATGGAAACCAGAACATGTGATTTCCAAACAAGAAAAATCCTAAGAGGGAGGGGAGGAGGGGAGAGGAAGGATTCGGCCAGTGCCCAGAGTGAAATTGAGTAATATCAATTTCACTCATCTTCACACATCTTCAGGTTACATGTTTGTGGAGTAGTTTAGGAACAAATCCATGGTTTGTGGATTACTAATATACCTAGTGGTCTGCTGTATTACATTATGGTTTTCCCCAGCAGTTTCCAAAGCAGCCTGCAAGTCACTGGCAGAATTTGGCTGGAATTGCAAGCAGGACTGCAGAGATTCCTCTCCACAGTAATAGAAGGGATTGTTCCAGGCCTGATTGTTTCAGGACTGGGTGCACCAGGTCTGAGTGTTCAGGAGTGGTTGCTCCAGGGCTGGATATTCCGGGTCTGGTTGCTCCAGGGTGAATTGCTCCAGGTCTGGTTGCTCCACATTGGAAGGTTCCCAGTTGTGTTCACCAGGCACCCCTGGTGGTAGAAAGAGTAGAGGCGAGGGTAGGCAGGTGCTGAGGCCTTCTGAGTCACACCATTGCTATTCTTTGGTCAGTTGTTTTGATGCCACCTCTTAGATTTCGTTCTCTGGAACCAGGTCTGCACCTCCTTGTAGCTAAGGTTCAGGATGTTGGAAAGTTCTTGCATCTGCTGAAGGCTGAGGTATTTCTGTCTCTGAAATCAATCAATGAGTACACACAGGTAAACGAGAACACAGTTCTGGTCTTCTATTTCTTGACTGCGAACTTGTCTTCCTTTTCTTGTGGCACTATTCTGTGCAGCAGGGGGCTGTTTGCCTTTGGGACTGGTGGAAAAATCAGGGCTGTCCCAAATAAGCAGATCCATGAGGAAGGAAAAGGAGAGACAGTAGTCTCTGTGTGAGGCATCTCAGCAGATGACATTTGCAAGAATCCACAATGAATTATTTTTAATGTGCTGGTGAATTTGTTTACCAGTATTTTGTTGAGGATTTTTTGTATCTATTTTGATCAGGGTATTGGCCTGTAGTTTTTTGTTGTGTCCTCATCTGGTTTTGTAATCAGGGTAATGTTGACTTCATAGAATGAATTTGAAAGAATTCCTTCCCCTTCAATTTTTTGAAATGGTTTCAGAAGAATTTTACTAATTCTTCTTTAAATGCTGGTTGAATTCAGCAGTAAGGCCATCAGGTCTTGGACTTTTTCTGATAGGAGACTTTCTATGACTGATTCAGTCTCCTTATTCCATACTATTCTACTCAGATTTTCTATTTTTTAATAATTCAGTCTTGGTAAACTGTATGTGCCGAGGAATGTATCCATTTTTTCTAGGTTATCTAATTTATTAGCATATAATTGTTGCTAATATTCTCTTATAATTCTTTGTATTCTCTGATATCAGGTGTAATTTCTCCTTTTTCACTTCTGATTTTATTTGAATCTTCTCTCTTTTTCTTAGTCTAGCTAAAGGTTTGTCAATTTTGTTCATCTTTTCAAAAAACATCTTTTGTATTCCTTAGTCTCTATTTCATCATTTCTGCTCTGATGTTTACTATATCCTTCCTTCTATTCATTTTTTTTCCTTCTACTCATTTTGTGTTTAGTTAGTTCTTTTCTAGTTCCTTGAGGTGCAACATTAGGATTATGCATGTAGTTGTGAGATATATATATATATATATATATATATATATATATATATATTCGGCCACTTTATGTGTTTTCATTGGATAATCTAATTCCTTTTACATTCAGGTAATTATTGATAGGTAAGGACTTACTACTGCCATTTTGTTAATCATTTTCTAGTTTGTGTTGCATACTTTTTCTTTCTTCCTCTCTTACTGTCTTCCCTTCCCATTAAGTGTTTTTCCCTGGCAGTCTGTTTTGATTCCTTTTAATTTTTAGTGAATCAATTATAGGTTTTTGTTTTATGCTTACCATAAAGTTTACAAAAAACATATTTATTAAACAGATAACTTTGATTACTGTCACAATTTACATAATTTTATATTGCATATCCCTTAAAAAGTATTGTAGTTATTATTCTTATTATTGTTTTGAGACAAGGTCTCACTCTGTTGCCCAGACCATAGAGCAGTGGCATAATCTTGGCCCACTGCAACCTCTGCCTCTCAAGCTCAAGCGATCCTGCCACCTCTCCCTCCTGAGTAGCTGGGACTACAGGCATGTGCCACTATGCCCAGCTAATTTTTATATTTATTATCTTTAATACTTTATTCCCCTTAATACTAAGGATGTTAAGTAGTCCCTCTACCATTATATTATTGGAACATTCTGAATTTTATTATATACTTACTTTTACCGGTGAGCTTTGTACTTTTAGATGTTTTCATGTTACTCATTGGCATCCTTTTATTTCAGCTTGAATTCCCTTTAACATTGTTTGTAAGGTAGGCCTAGTGGTGATGAACTTCCTCAACTTTGCTTGTTTGGGTATTTTCTTTCATTTCTGAAGGACAGCTTTGCCAGAATACACTATTGTTGGTTGACAGGGGTTTTTCCTCCTTTAGGACTTTGAATATATCATCCTACTGTCTCCTGACCTACAAGGTTTCTGCTAAGAAGTCTTCTGCTAAGTGTATTGAAAAAGTCTCTTTTGTGTTATTTGTTATTTTCTCTTGCTGCTTTCAGCATCCTCTCTTTGACATTTACCTTTGACAATTTGATTATAATATGTCTTAGGGTGGTCTTATTTGAATTAAATTTGATTGGTGGCCTATGACTTTCTTGTACCTGGATATTTGTATCTTTCTCCAGGTTTGGAAAGTCTTCTGCTATTATTTCTTTAAATAAGTTTTCTACTCCTTTGTCTTTCTCTACTTCGTCTTGAACTCCAATGACCCATACATTTGCTCTTTTGATGTTATCCTATGAATCCCATAAGCTTTTTTCATTCCTTTTATTATTATTATTATTTTGTTTCTCCTCTAACAGTATATTTTCAAATAACCTACCTTCAAGTTCACAGATTCTTTCCTCTGCTTGATTAATTCTGCTACTGATGCTCTCTTCATTATATTTTTCAGCTCCTAGATTTCTATGGTGTTTTTTTTTTTTGTTTCCAGAGCAATTTATTAGGGAAAATCTATTCAATATGCCATCAACAGTTCTCCTGTGTGTATTGCGCTGATAAATAGACACTGAGAGGATTTAACAAGTTCATCATTTAATAAGTCTGAATCCATTTTCACCACATGGTATTATACACGGTCATCTGTTGAAACAGATTACTTTTTTAACAGATCTTGGTTTAAAAAAGTCATAGATAGATACTGTGAGTTCTGTATAAACTGGTTAGAACCTTGGTTTTAACTTATAAGCCTCAACTTCACCGCCAAATAAAGAATGTAGGCCACAGAAAGCATAATCAGTCACTCATATAGAACAGTACTGTTTCTATAATTTGAAGCTTTCTGAATGGATGGGTTCAGGCCTGATGTAACTGTAAAAAGATTACTTAATGAATAGACTATATGGAAATTGTACAAAATGTTATTACCTTTAATCATTAGTAGCTTAAACAGCACTGTGTCACTAATTGCTATTCAAAATCAAAAACGTATTTTTAAATCCCCAAGAAGGTAGCATGTGTATACACAACCATACCACCTTGTACTTAGGGGTGTGTCAATACATAACTCAACAGAAACTTTGGCTTTAGGAAAGAGTCACAAATATTTAAAATAATGGCTTTCATCATCATTTTAAGTATACGGTAGGGGAAAAGTGTGCTTTAATTAAATATACATCATACCGGTGATGCTGGCAAGGTTGAAAGTTACTCCTAATGTTGATAGCTATAAAAACTAGTTTGTATATAACAAGACAATGAGAGGAAAAAGCAGTCCCTTTGAAACAAAATTCTCGAGTAAAAAATGTTCACAGTGGTTCGTATCAAGAGTATGCATTTTATGACAAGAACATGTACAGATTCAGAGCACCCTAGGGCTCTCTTTATGCCCTAAAGAAAATGAGCATTTACATAATTATGGATTGTACTGAATTAAAAAAAGATAAATTGTACACTTACCCCTTAGAAAGGATAAACTGTCCTGGGGTGTACAGCTTTAACACCATCATTAAAATTGTTTGCAAAAGGAATAGAGAATTAAAAAACAAAACACTTTTTGGAGTGAAGTCTTTCATTTGCTGTTATAACCAGCAAATGCCATTCACTAAATTAAAAATGGAAGGGCCCCTACAAACACAGATCTATCTGAGCAAGCTGACCAGTACACATTACAGTCTTAAAAATGACGGTTATATACTCTATGTTACAAGTCCCAACTAGGCAGTGTCAAAATGACATCTATTTCTTTGCTTGTTTTGTGATCATACCCCTTGGAGGTGTTACAGGTCTCATGGCATTTGGCTTCTTTTTCTCTGCAGGCTTTAAAATCTGAAAAGAACACATTAGTGTTTTGTCCACACTCATCATGGCACCTGCATTGTCAAACTCGCCACAATAATTGGGTGCAGAAAACAGAGTAACCAACTGCCTCTTTGCAAAAAATTCATATCCATTTTCAACCACCTGATGGGCTCTACATATAAGATCCAAATCATGCTTATGGAGAAATTTTGCAACCACTTCTGCACCAAATGTGAAGGACACTCCTCTGTCATTTTCACCCCAGCCTAAGACATCTTTATCGGGGTCAGACCACAAAAGATCACAAAGAAGACCTTGACCTGGTACATCAGTTGGTCGCACAATTCGCCCAATCTGCTCCATAGATTGAAGATCTGGTGATAAACCTCCATGACAGCAGAATATCTTCTCATCCACGATGGCTGCTATCGGTAAACAGTTAAAACAGTCTGTGAAAGTTTTCCATAGTTTAATGTTGTATCTTCTTTTACATTCATCATAAAATCCATAAATTCTGTTGATGCTGGCACATTCATGGTTCCCTCTGAGAAGAAAAAAATTCTCAGGATATTTGATTTTGTAGGCCATTAAGAGGCAGATTGTCTCCAATGACTGCTTTCCCCTGTCCACATAGTCCCCAAGAAACAGGTAGTTGCTTTCTGGCGGGAAACCACCGAACTCAAAAAGTCGCAGCAAATCATAGTATTGCCCATGGATGTCACCACATATTTTGAGTGGTGCTTCAAGTTCTAGTAGGATAGGCTGACTGAGAAAGATCTCACGAGACTTTAGGCACAGTCCTCTGATTTCATTCTCCTGAAGCTGGACATTCTTATCAGGCTTGGACCCTCTCACTTCCAGCAGCCGTTGGATGATGCTGTCGATGTTGAGTTTATCTAAATTCGCCATCGCCCTCCTACCGCCGACCCTCCCTCAGCTTCGCTGCCGCCGGCTCGCACCCAGAACTCACACCTCCTTTCCCACGCCAAGAGCAGAGGCGGTGTTGGTGGCGATGGCAGCAGCCGCGGCGGGTCCCCCAACAACCGCACAACTCCCTGCTTCCTCCTTCTCTCCCCACTGGAACCACGAGAAGAACAAAATGGCCGCCGACTCCTTAGACAGCCTCGGGCGGTGTGCGCATGCGCGCGGTCCTATGTGGTTTTGTTTGTTTTTGTTTTTGATTTTTGTTTTTTAACTACAATATCTTTCTTAAATTTCTCTGATCAATTTTTGAATTGTTACTCCGTGTCTTCTTGACGTTCCCTTTAGGGTCAGTCACTAGCATCTCATTTTGTTCGGTGAGGTGAAATTTCCCTGCTTATTCTTGAGGCTTGCAGATGTGCATCTGTCTGTGTATTCGGTATTTATTCTAGTCTTTGCAGTCTAGCTTTCTTTGTGCCTGTTTTACTTCAATAGGCCTATCTAGAAGTTCTAGGCAGGCTAACTTGTGATTCCTAAGCCTGCGAGTGTTGCAGCCACTTCAGCACTAGAGGGGGCCCTAAGCCCAGGTTCACCACAAGCTTTGCAAGGGCTTTGAGGTTAACACAGCACCCCAGCCAGGATGGACCTGAGGAAGATTGAAGGAAGGTACCTTGGCTATATACATAAGCTAGCCAGGGACCCAAGCACAGAAGCCTGTCCCAGTGGCCTGGATAGACACCCCTCCCAGCAGTTCCCTGCACAGGCAGGACAATCCCCACATGTGGCAAGAAGGGCTGGAGTTGAGACTGGGCCCCCTCAAGGATCCCCATGGAACAGAGGTCAGCAAACCCATCCCATTGGCTTAGATGGATGTGGGGCCAGACTTGAAACTGGGTCTCAGAATCTGTTGTTGGACAGAGGCTGGAAAGCCCATTGCAGAGGCTCAGCTGAACAGGTAACTCCTATGAGATACAGGCAAGTTTCCCTTTGGGAAACAATTTCCCAGCAGCAAGCAGTATTAAGCTAGGACCACAGCTAAGGAGGGGTGGAGCTGAGCCTTAAGGCAACTTTCAGGTCCACTGCCAAAACCAATGTCGGCAGGCAGAGAAGCCTTCCCTGCTGAGGCACTGGTGTACATACTTCCTGAACACCCTGGCAGATGGTTTTGGTGGTAGCCTCAAGGCCAGTAGGGGCTACCACCAAGCCCCCTGGGGAATGAGGCCATTTCCCCAGGCTTGAGTCTGGAAGCACAATTGATGGGTCTGTCAACTGGTTATGAGTATGCACTCTAAAAATCACCCTCCTAGGTCTTGGGCTCCATCACACTTCCTCAACATTCTACCCGAATCCTGA